CTCATCCCAGCGGACCTTTACCTCCAGACCATGCGTCTTTCTTAAAGACAGGGCCCAGCTTAACCACCAGGCACGAGGCTGGATGCAGGAGTTATTAGGTGTGTTTCTATGGCCTGTGTCACAACGAACCCCAGTGGCCCTTTACAGCCTTATGATCTACGAATCTTGTCGCAACCAACCTGGCGCTCTCGTGGAAGCCTCCAAAGACGATTAATTGCCTCTTGCAGGCAACCATTCGATGTCCGCTCCTCCCCGAGGGGCCGCCAGCTGCCCTGCAAAGCAAACCGTCACACTGATCAGCAAGGTTTCCTTGCACCGTGGTTTCAGAGTTCATTTTTACTAAAGGCGCTGCCTGCTCAGGCAGCTGGATATGTCCCGCTTCTCTTTTAAGGGCAGGGAGATCGCAGGGAGCTCTGCCACCTCCCTGCAAATGGCATTTTTCTTGCAAAACACCATGTGCGTTCCTCTTGCACCGTTCGGCGTTTGCATAATAGGTACTTCGCAGCAATGGTTTCATTTCTAAGGGTAAGTCATCTAGTTTCTAGGCTGCCCGAGATCTTGAAGGCTTCTCGGCTATGACTCATGACAGCTAATTTTCCGAGAGAGTTTAATGAATAGCTCCCACCCACGGCAGAGAAAAAGAGCAAAGACGGGGTAGCCTAATATTCAGAGCACAGCCCTGGGAGCCAGGAACTCCCAAATTCGACTCCTAGATCCAAAGCCGCCTCCTCGCTGAGGTCTCGGGCAAGTCACTCATCCTCGTTGCTTCTGTTTACCCACCTGTCCTAAAAGGTATAATACTCAACTCGCAAAAATAGATGGGCTCCTTAATTAGTGTTTGCAAATTGCTTTGAATTCCTCCAATTAAAGGCACCGTAGCCGTGCAAAGCGTTCCTGGGATATTAGACATGAAATAAGCAGGTGGATATAGCGATAGCTGTTCTATTCTTTCCAAGCCTTCATGACCTTTCAGTTAATTTGCAGCTTCCATTTCCAGGAATGAGCCACGAATCCCCATCTGTCAATCCCAAAAAAGCTGCCGCCAAAGCCAGCCAGCGGAAAGCAACATTTTCTGAACAGCGCTAACGATAGACATCCCTCCACGGTCGCCCACAGAAAGGTATCTGCGTGCAAGAGCCATGGAGGAGATCGGCTAAAACCAATGCTCCCAAACACCGGCGAATCCAGGTCCTGACCCAGCTTTGCTCTAAGCACTAAGTCACAGGAAAGTCTCAGTTATTTCCCCCACTTGGGCTTTTCCTTCCTGGGTAAATGCAAACACCTTGAGCACTAATACTACCCCTGCGCTATAAACAGGGACATCCTGAACTCAACAGGACTCCCCAAGCAGGTAAAATTAATGCCTGCGTGCACACACACGCACACTTTGCAAGATAAGGCCCTGGATGAATAAAAAACTGTAACCCACTTACTTACCAATAGTTAAAGCAATACCAAGTAAAAAAAAGAAAGAAGCGCTGCTTCACTTTAATTGGCATTATACAGCCATAAGAAAATCGGGGTAGATTTCCATGGATAGAATAAATGAGCCCCCAGGTCCCAGGAAAACGATAACTTCACTCCAGTCTTAATAAAAGCACACACACGCACACACGCGAGCGGCAGCGATTGGCAAGAAATGACTTAAGACGGATCTCAGGCACTTTTATTCCAGCAGGAAGCATACTTTTCTAGGCATATGTTTATTTTTAAAAAAAAAACCACACAAACCAGCCTCCATAATAGCACTTTTCGAGATAGGCAGGATTAATTTGATCGTGCTGTGAAATCATGAATTTTTTCTGGCTAATAAAAATTTCCACTGTGTTGCCTTGGAGTATGGTGCCTTTCTGTTGTTATTATTAAAGGGTAGGGATAAGGACAGTGTTTACAATGAACTAAAATAAAGCGTCACGCCTCATTTGCCTTGAAGGCAACGCTGGTCCCGGAGATATTCTCTGCTTCTACACTCAATCTTTCCGCTGAAGCCAAACATCATATATAAACCGCTTATTCCTGGATTTTGATGCCGTCTGCTAATAAACACACTTGTGCAAACACGCAATCAACTCAAACTTCTCCAAGAAAATACTGCCCAATTTGGGAACTGAAGTTGGATTCTGATCAGAGCCCAGTCGAGTCGAAAGTTGGTTTGGATCCAGTTCTTCTCCCCCGCTCCCAAAAAGCAGAAATACGAGCTGGAAACGGGGCTGAAACGTGGTTACTAGAGATGGAAAGCATGGTCCCGCAAGGTGCCTTTTGGGGTCTCAGGGTTGAGCATCTTCCAGGGACGAGGCCACGGGGAGCGAGCACAACAGAAAGCAGCAGCTTCCCGCAATGCTTCTGTACTGAGCATCCGAGCGCCTCCTGCTCCACCAAAGCGGTGCTGGAAGAAGCAAAGAGGTTTAAAATGGTGAAGGGAGCCTCCTTCAATCAGAAAGCACGACACCAAAACGCACCCTAAAGCCACAGCGACTTGCTCTGCAAACAGTGCGAAGCACTCGCATCCACAATGCCATCTCGAAATATGTAAGAGCACCTCAATTCACAGAGCTCCTAGGAAACCTGTTGTGATGCTTGTTAGAGCTCAGATGCTGCAGCAAAAGGGGCCAAGGGAGACCATCGATTAGATAGAAAAACACATAGCAAAGGGATCTGCTATGCTCTCAAGCAAGATCCCAGGGATCGGGGTTGACCGTTGGGTTTTGGGGGTGTGAATGGGAGCTGTCTGCCCACAGGGGAAGCAAAGAGATGCAAACAGAGGGACGGCATAGCTTAGCCATTTACGTCTCAAACCGACTAGAGCGATTCAGTTTCCTTAGGACCTTAGGAGAGAGAAGGGCTCGCTGCGCTAGGCTCTTGCATGCACAAATAGCAAGAGAGAATCCTTCCTCTCCTCCCAGCCTTCTTTCCTTTCTGTTTTAAGAGCAGCCAACAGCACGGGTGGAAAAAGCTGCTCTCACTAGGAACAGCCTTCCCCCAATATCACTACCGATTCCCACATAACCAAATCAGCAGTGCTGTCCTGGCAGAAGGCACACTCTAATTCTTGCCTCCCATATGGTGTGATCTGCTGCTGCAGGGGATGGTTTGCCTGCTACAATTTTTCATCTCCACGCATTTATTCACAGCAATACGGGGCCTGGGTAAAGCTGCTGCTACACCTGCCAGCTGAAGCCTCATAACAGAAGGGCAGATAGTGCAACCTGACTCCAACGTGTCTGCAGCGTGCCCGGCGGCTTCAAAACACCGCGCTCATTCATATTTCCGACTCCAGTTACTCTGAAAACAAACTTACTCAGGCAACGGCTCCAAAATGTATGATCTCGAGCAAAAGGAATCAATTTTGCTTTTGTATCCATGTATCCATCAGCATCCCGGTTCTTGGAGAAAATTTAAGCGAAAGTCCGGGACTGGCAGAGCCCACGCGGTGCCCAGCCTGGCCCAACCCTCAGTGAGAAAACCACCGTGCTCCCAACAGCTGATCTGCCTCTACCCACCGCCATACTCTGCCCCGGCACCCGTTCCACCCTGCCTCGATTTCCCCAAAATATTTATGGCCACCTTACTTAAAAACATAGGTCCCGATCTGACAACCACTTAAGCACGTGCATAAGCAAGCTGATGATTTTATGAAGTCGTGAGAAGCGATTTTTTCCACCGTCCTCAGCACTGGTGAAGCCTCACCTGGCGTACCGCGGCCAGGTTTGGACACCGCGCTTCAAGATGCGGATCGAGTCCAGGCAACGGCCACAAAAATGAGCTGACATCTAGGAAACGTGACGCATAAATCTTCAAATACATCGAGTTGCTGCTAAAACTATTCTCCATGTCCACAGGGGACAACGCAAGAAGGAGGGATCTGAATCTGGAACAAGGGAAATTTACTGGGGATATTTGGCAGGAATCGAGTTTTATCGGTAAATGGTGATTTCGCCTCATGTGCATAGACCCGCAAAAATGCATTTCCGTTATTAATAATCAAAATGTATAGAAAGGGGGATGTATATTTATTTATAGAAATAAATATATAGAAATGATAGAATAGAGAAGATGTAAAATGTATAGAAATGAAGGCTGATGGAGCGTGTGATGACAGGGGGAGCAGTCCTACACAACGGCGCTGACTGTAGTTTGGACGGCAACTCCCAGAAACCCCAAGGGACTGGGAACAAAGGAAGAAGTGACAAAGGGGATGGAGGAGCTATCGGCGAGCAGAACGGGGACTGACGGCAGCTCTGCCACTCAGCGGGTGGCAGTCCTAATGTATACATTTGTCACAGCGGGCGGTTAAACTGCACTATAATAATAGGTATTTTTGTCTCATTTCAATAATGGGTTGCAAAAGAAAATCTATAGAGAAATACTGCGGTGAATACCATGGCTGTCATTAATAAATTGTCTGCCCCCCACATCTCTAATTCCAGGCAATGCTGCAGATTTTAAAATCGCTAAAAATCAAAATAAATGCTTAAAAATAAACGTGGATATTATCCGTCGAAATTATTAAATAAAAATCTAATTCTGCCAAGCCTAGATGTAAGGAAGCACGGTCTACCCCTGAGGGAGAGTTAGCATTGGGACAGACGACCTGAAGAGGCTGTGGAGCGCAGCGCTGGAGCAGCTTAGACGAGCACTTGCCGGGGATGGATTCGACGGGGCTCAGATGCGACTCCAGGTCCTTCTCAGCCCTGTTCTTCTGTGACTGTGTAACTTGACTCACACGAGCATTTCCATAGATGTCAATGGAAATGCACCAGTAAGTTATGCATGCACACACACAACTGGTGCCCTAGAAAGCAGATAAAACCAGGGAAACGAAGTGCCACATGTTCAACACCCTGGCAGGAAAGAAAGAAAGAGAAAAAAAAAAAAAAAAAAAAAAAAATCGAACACTGCAGATCAGATCTGCTTTGTCCTTTCTCTCCCCCTTCCCCTGCAGACTGTAATCAAGATGCCACAGGAAAAAGCACAGAGGCAGCAGAAACTTGATTTTCACACTCAGTCAGGTTAGCATTAAAACAAAGACGGTCTCCTCCCAGCCTCCTCCGCGCAATCTCTTATTAACGCAGATATTGGCTCTCTTCCCAAGGAGGAGGCGGAGATGCACTTTGTTTTTTTATTTTAACAGCAGGACCAGAGCACATGGGCTTTCATGAAATGCCGACCAGGCTGAGAGGGAGTGTGGGGGGGACCGAAGAGAGAGCGCATTGCAAGCTGCAGGGTCCCAGGCTCCCAGCGGGAATGTGAAACGCAACAGGAACAGCGCTGGCTCGCCTATGAAATGTTTACGTGTCTAGTTTTAAATGCATGCCATTTGCATGGCAGCAAAATGCCCATGCAACCCAGTGACTTGCGCCAATACGTCACCTGGATAATACACCAGCAGCGAGAGTCAGCCACGGAGCAGGTTGTCATGCCCTCCCAGTTGAAAGGGGTCCCGAGAGCTTGTTCCTGCCCAAAGATAACCTCAGAGTTGATATTTCAGTCCTGTGCCACCGGGCAAAGTACTACGTACCCCAACTCCTGCCCCCTTCAGCCAAATTGCATGAATGATACTAAATATCCCATCCTACCCTATTTGCTGGTTGTATCTACCCACTAGAAGCCTAAAGTCCAGATCTCTTTCCACTGTAAAAAGCATATGGACATCTAATATATTCCACCAACCACCTCTGGTACTAAGTCAAAATGGTTGAGTACCTACAGACAGAAGTCTAATCCTGGAAAAGGCAGGTTAGTGCAGATCATGGCCATGCAACACCTGGCAGGCATGTTCTTCTAATGAAACATATTGACTTTCATAGATGTCACAGACATTTGGGCTGGAAGGGACCTCGCAAGACCAGCGGGTCCAGCCCCCTGCCCCGAGGGGTGGGAAGTCAGCTGGGGTCCAAGGATCCCAGCAAGATAAGCATCCAAAGCGATTTTGTCTCAGCGGGTGCAGAAGCACATGCCTGGGATCTCCTCCGTGAGGGTCAGGGACTCTCAGGGGGTCCCGCCAGCTGCCCAGGGTGTTGTCCAGCCAGGGTCAGCAAAGACAGGGCTGGCTGTAGGAACTCAGGGCTGCAACCACCGATTTCTTCTCAATGGAACAGGACCGCAACACAGCATTCGTTTGGAAGAGAAAATCCCAACTCCCCCACGCAGTGATGGACGTACACAGACTCTGCAAACCAATATGGATAGATCAGCTTGTGGGGAACCACAACCACCCCCTGAAGAAGCCGGTTCAGAGCTTTCACCTTCCAAAGAACCATCGTTCTGGATGGGTTCGCTCAGCACCAAGTCCCAACACATAAATTGAGCTCACCAAAGCGAATCACACTTCCCCTTTGCATTATCAGATCAACCCTTTGAGGTCCAGGATTAATTCAGATCACATTGGCATCTTGGTGCTGCCTTGCTGTGCTATCGGTCTGGGCTAGATAACTCTCCTGGGCTGCTGGAAAGGACAGGGATTCAGACAGTCAAAAGCCTGAACCTCAGGCCAGGAGGCGTCCCTTTACCTGCCCCTTTGCATCAGAACTGGCCACCACCATATGCCTACTGCACCTTGCACACCTGGGTTTTTAAGTAAAAAATAGATGGTCCAAAGTCAATCCTGTTGAGCTAGCATGGCTAAGGCGGGCTGGGTCCTGCAGCCGATGACACGCAAGGGCTGGCATCACATCTGGCTGCTTCTGACACCCCAGCCCAAGTGACCACACAGCCATTTACAGGTAGGTCAACTGAGGTCAGTCATGAAGCATCTTTTCTGCTTGACAATACCTGGAGGCTTCTGAGCACGACACTAACATACAGAGTAAAGCCTCCTACCACTTCTTGCAGGGCAGCCTTAATACCCCTCCAGCTGACAGATGGGACGCCAAGATGCAGAGTCAAGGCTTGTCTCCATTGCAACAGCTTGATGGGGCTTGTACCCTCAAGGTCGTCTAGCCTAGCTGCCCCCTAGGACTCAAATAGATGGCACCAGAGCATATAGGCGGATGAGGAACTGCTGCAGCTCAAGCTGCTGTATCCCCCCGTTGCTCTTTTGGGGTTAGGAGCACTCCAACTTCAACCCACGTACCTGAGGGGCAAAGCTAGCTCAAGCTTAAAACACCTCTTAACAGGACACGAACTGGGATGTGAGAAAAGAGACGAGTAAGGGATGAAATTCATGTAATAATTCTTGCTAACCAATTCCCAAGTGACTTGCCCTGGGTTAGAAAAGGCATCTATGGCAGTCAAGAGCCGGACACAGATCTCCTGCATCTTCAGCCACTGTTTTACCCACAATGTCATCCTCTCGTGGATGCAGGGACTGGCACCCAAAGGGCAGGGAGGTACTACTGTGCAAAAGACTCCTGCTGTCACGCTGCTGGGTCGAAGGCAGCCTAAGCTGCCTCCATCCAAGAGCTTTGCTCTGCAGTCTGATGTTTAAGCTGGTCTTTCAAATAAGAAGCAGAGAGGGGACCCCCAAAGTTGCTTACAGCACAGTCACATGACTATGCAAGGCAGCTTGATCCTCCAGGGACAGTACCGTGCCTCCATGGCGAATGGCTCTACTACAAGTGTGCTCAAAACAGAGGCAAAATCCCTCCAGGGGCCTGGACAGATGGAAAAACAGAAGAGAGGTCCATTAAAGTGGAGGGAGGCTTCTCTTTGCAGATGGAGAGGAGACTAAACCAGAGGGGACAGTGCTGGTGCTGACAGACCATGGCAAAGCATAGGCTGGAGGGTGCTGCAGGCCTTTTTTTGCTAACAAAGGGCTTTGGTCTTGCTGCCCGAGACAGCAGCCCTTATTTTCTCTTTCTTTCTGGAGCCAGGCCCCAGGGGAGTCAGGGCATAGCCACCTTTTGTAGCATGAGCACCAGGAGAAATAATCAGCAGAGCCCCAAAGAAAGACAGGCAGCAAGCTGGGAAATCAGGCAGCCACACCAGGGACCGCGCTGGGCCCCAACCGGCTGAAGTCAACACGGGTCGCCGCAGAACATCTCACTTACTTGATTTGCTCCCAAGTTTTGGTGGCCAAATGCAGGACCCAGAGATCCTTGTAATGGTAAAACTGCTCCCCATCGGGAGAAGCAAACTCTCCTCCGAATACCCAGAGCTGCCCGCCAGCCTGGGGCACCACTGCCGCCTGCCAGGAGAGAGAGAAAGGACATGGTAACAAACCCTTTGAAAAGCCAAGGACTCGGGGATTTGGAAAGCCATGCACACAGCTGCCACTGAAATACAACACAGCAGACAAGTGGCAGCGACCGCTGCTGCATTGCTTGGCAACAGCAGCTCTCTGGGGCTCGAAGAAAGGGAAAACCAGAGTGTAAAGTTGCTTATTGTCTCCCAGCACTTTTCTAGTGCACTCTGCTCTGTAGCAATGGAGCACCTGCCCCCGGGCCCCTCCTTCTGTTGGCTTCGAATCCAGCACCACGGATCAAAGGAAAACCCTCGGGATTTGTCCTTCAAAGGAAAAGAAGCATTTAAAATCTCTCCCGCCAGCAAGAGGGGAAGCTCCCTATAATGCCCATAGACTGGAGGGTCACAGCCAGTCTCCCATCCCTTAGTCCAAGTAACACGCACCCCGCTGGTGCCCCGAGTGGCACAAAGCAGGGGGCATTTGATAACAGAGCACAGAAAAAGGACAGGCAAGCTAATTTAAGTTGGGAGGGAACTTAAAAGCATGGCATAACTGCCCCTTCTGCTTCCTGTACTGGTGGGTGACGGTCAGCTCCCAACCCTCCTCGCCATCAGGACCCCTTAACTTAAACTGCCGAGGAAGGAGGAACACCGATCTGTGGACCATTTACAGTGACCTCAAGGACCACTGGTCACGGACGTGACTATAATAATAGCCACCACTAGAAATGGCCACGTCTGAGCCTTCCCCAAGTAAGCCGGCAGCTGTACGGATACCATCTGGGGCTGCAAGAATAAAGCCATCAGCCTAGCAGGTGCCGAAGCAGAACAGCGCTGCATCTCAGGTAGGCTTGACCAGACACAGAGGTAAACACCAGAAGCAAGAGATAGTAGAAAAGGGCCCTGAGAGGATGAAATAAAAACGGGAGGCGCTCACCATGAAGGGATGGGAAGAGAAGAGACAGCCTCCAAGGAGTAAGTTTGCCTGAAGTGTTTGGAAACGGGAAAAAGGAAAGAGAGAACAAGGGATGCTGTGATGGGGAAAATCACTATTCCCAAGAAGGCAGGGGCTTCAAGAATCGGGCATATCAATGAAAAACTCCTCTGTATGTGTACTGCCAATGCTTTCATCACCTCGCTCGGACCAGATCCACAAATAAGACAACACGATCTCTCCCCGAAAAGACCCTTCCCCCCTCCCTCCCCTGCAAAAAACCAGCAAACATCAGAGGAGCAGATTTTTAATATCAGACCAGCGTAATTGCATTAGCACGAGCCTTGCTTATGCATTCAGAGAGCAAACACACAGGAAAACCATGCCTTTGCTGGCCGAGGTGGTAACGTATGGTTAGACACTCAACTGGCTACGGGCCTGTGCAATTAGCTGATTTCCACGGGGACGTGGTATTTGCGAACCTAAATTAGGACTGTGCGGAGGTCTGCACGTAACAGTGTGCTCCACTTTGAAGATCTAGCTCCAGACTAATTATAATACCCAAGGTCCTCCATGCGCAGGCACTCGTCAGCACCCGCTTCACGGCCCCTCTGACCTCAGCCCTATCGGCTGCGAAGGTGGAAGGGCAGAAAGCAATACCAGCGGGAGAGTCTGTGTCGAAGCCGAGAGATGACAAATGAGGCTGCAAATAGACACACATGAATCTACACGCACGCTACTGTTTACTCTAACTCCCAGCTAATGAGGAACGTGCGTTAAAAAAAAAAAGTCACAGAGAAGACAACACACTAGTCAATTAATGGGGCTGAACTGTCTCCCATGTAAGGGTAATTAATTATCAAACAGAAAATCCGCTGCTGCAGCAAAACCCTAACAGAAAACGAAATGAGAAGTTGCCTGTTGCAATTCTCTCCTTCGCAGCCTCGCTGCAAAAGCAGGATTTAGTTGTTCGGGCACCACCTGCTGGCTTCACACAGGCAGCGGCTGCAAGGAGGGAACCAGCAAGAATAACTTCACAAAGCCCAAGACTTCCCGGCTCCTGGTTATCTAAGGCATTTATTCTATTAAACCATATTCCCTCTCTATTTAAAAAGTATGCACTTCAGCTAATTTCCTACTGGTTATTTACTGGTCTATCAGAAGGACAGCAGCTAAGTATTAAATATATTATTGCTGTGGTAGCCTGGGAGTTTTTATTTATCACTTGTATGATCATAGCACCTAAGGGTCCCAGGCATGGTCCGCTGTATTAGTGGCTGAACAAAAACTGGCCAAAAAGCTAACTAAGGAGAAGACCTATAGATATACACACACACACACACACACATACATATATATACATAGACACGCATACATACATACACACACACACACACACACACGCTTCATTTATAACATATATATTGGTCTTATTCTTAGTTCACTTTTTGGCCAGTCTTTGGTCTTATCCTTGGGCCAATATTTTTTATTCTTAGTTTGTTAGCATATAGATATAGGTATATATGCAAACAAACTAAGAATAAGATCAAAATATTATAAAATACACACACATATATACCACCCACATAAAACGATACCTTAATTTAGGTCCTAGCCTATGTGGAAACAGGTGTGCTTTGCCTGCCTGTGTCTGTTTAACAAGTCAGGCACTCAATATTTAATGCAGCTGGAATATGTCATTTTAAATAGTTCAATACCTTACCTATGGATTTCAGACAAGAGTGCGCATTTTGTTAGCACTTTTTCTTGGGAGCTTATAAAGTTTCGTAGTGGTATACGGATACATTTTGCCTTGAACAGTATTCTGCCTGCCCACTGCAATGACTTTGGAAAGCATCTTGCAAACGGTTTCTCCAAGATATAGTTGGGGTTACTACTGTTGTCTCTTGCCATGACTAAAGCTGCTTACACAAGTTGTTGGCATTACTTGCCAGCAGACCCTTGCATAAAGCCCATTGCAATTCATGGGTCACTCTAACAAGACAAGCAGGGGGACCGGGGATCTAGGGAGCATCTTCACACTAGGCTGGGAGAAGTTAAAATCTCAGAAAAGAGACATTTACAGCATGGAGCTCTGACCTGGTATAACAGGCTATACCAGGTATCCATGATTATACCTGGTATATCTGGGTTATACCAGATATAATCAGGGATACCTCTGCCTAGCCCTCAGCGTCACCTGGCTCTTGCCTAGATGCATTCATTGCAGTCAGAGGAAACAGCGTCAGATCTACACGACAAAGCGCTCCCAGACTGTCTCATGTACGGAAACCTTCCCGTCGCAGAAGGGACCAGGGCCGATCAAGCAGCACGGTGGCCTGCGTGAACTGCATTAGGAGGGGTCTCAGTTCGGTTCCAAGTGACCCCGTGGATCAGAGAAAACTCCCAAAGAGTGACCAGCTGTGCACGGCGACATATGGGAAACTGCATCTCTTTGCTAAACAGTCTGTATGCCAAATGCTGCCTGCTTGCTTCCCTGCAGTACCTACGCTGGATGTCTGTGAAGACAGGCGTCCCGGAGCACATGCTCCATCTTAGGTATTTCTACAACACCGATCTCCAGAGGAGCTGCAGCCATGAGGCTTAGGTTGTTAAAGAGATGAATGCACTAAATGACCAATTCATTCATATCCTTTTAGACAGCCCATCTAGAACATCTTGGGACTCTCCCCTTTGGCCTGCTGACCAGGGATGTGAAAAACCAATGTCCCTCACAGACAGTCCACCCCAGGCTTTATGCTGGGTCCAGGGCAGGTTGGGACAAGGCTTCTGGGCATTTATGCAATGCTGTGTTGATTAAAACTCAAAGATGGGAATTATGGGGCCCCCGCTTTGAGTCTCAATGCTTGTTTAAGCAGCTAGCCCTTACCTGGGTCAGAACTGCACCTAAGTCAGAACAAGAAGAAGTTTAACACAGAGCGCTGCATGCACTCACTGAGCAGAAAACACAAGCACTTTCTCTGGGTTTCTATTGCCGCTGTCCATTAGCAGTTCTTCTGCCATCCAATCCCCCAGCCCAGAGGGAATCCACACAGGGTTTGCAACGGAAGCAGAGAGACATCTGAGCCCTGCTATCTAAAAGTCTTTATAGCCTGAAGAATTAGACCTGCTGAAAGTCTCTCAGAGATTTTCTGAATAAAGCAGAATTGCATGAACAATGACTCTTCTGACATTCATACTCAAAGGATGCAGATAGCAGGGACTGCGTTAACCCATCCTGGACCCACAAGAAAATGGCACTGAAGCAGCATGAAAGGCTCCACGGTGGAGGATGAGCCGTACAATTTCTCAGTACAGCGGGCCCCAGGTTGATCACAGCGTCGGCATCATTGTGACAGGCACGCTGAGATGTCTCACACCTTCGGAAACAGAGCCTGTTATCAGGCCACCTGACACCAGAGTGACTCTGTAAGTGCTGTCCTGATGACTGGAGGCCAAACACTTTACCTGATGAGCACAGCGCCGGGGAGGAGGGCTGGGGACGTCAACTTTAGCCCAACTGTTCTTCCGGATGTTGTAAATATACAGCTCGTTGTACAGGTAGGTCTGTTAGAGGCAAAAGGAAAATCTGCATCACCACACCTTGCCGCTAAACCCTACCCGAGAGCAGCGCGTTCAGTTCTCACCAAGCAGAGGCCACTTTGGAGAGCCTTAATTTAATGACCACATAGCTGGCTCTCCAAAGTGGCCTCTATCAGAGG